AGGCCCACATTCCCAGCTCCAGGCCCACATTCCCAGCTCCAGGCCCACATTCCCAGCTCCAGCAGGGCCGGCTCAGGGGGGTTGGTGGCTCGGCCCTGCTTTGGCTCCCGATGGGTTTCCCTGTCCCTGGAATTCTGCAGGAGGTGTTTGGGGTGAGTTTGGGGCTGCCCTGGGATGGCCTTGGATTCTCCCGAGGGTTTTGTGGCTGGAGCAGGATCTGCCCATGGATTGAGCCCAGGGAGCCTTTCCTGGCACATCCTGGAATTCTCTGCTCCCAGGGAATATCCCACAGAGCTGGAGGAGTCTCCAGACACGACTATTGTTGAACACAAAGTGCTTTTTGTGCCATTGTTGGAAGCTTCTGGATTAGGAGAAAACCTCAGGGCATTGGGGAATTCTGGTCAGGATTCCCATGAATTCAACATCCATTTCTGGATTTCCTTTGGAAGAGGATGATGATGATAATAATAATAATGATGGTAATAATCATAAATATATATATATAAAGTAAAATTTATAAAATAAATATGATACAATGAATAAAATGTAAATAAATATAAAATATTAACATATAAAAGAATTTTTAATTACTATTACTATTATTCCCCACAGACAAACCAGCCAACACTTCACCTGACACAGTAACTTGTCTTTCCCTATTTTTTAGGGCTTTTCCACCAGGCCAAGCTGCCCCTGCACTTCCCATTCCAGGCTTGAGCTGTGGCAGGGGTGACTCCCCGAGCTCTCCCTCTCCCTCTGCTCTTCCCCAGCTCCTTTATCCCGTAATCTCTGCACTGAAATCCAAGTTCTTGGGCCTGATCCCATCACCAAATACAATAATGGATCAATCTGGGCCCTCTCCTGCTGCTCTGGGACAATCCAGTGTCCCACATTCCCAACACATCCCCTGCACACCCTGAGGACCCAGAGTTCCTCCATGGAACAGCTCCTGCCTCCTGTCCCACATTCCCAATACATCCCTTGCACATGGAACAGCTCCTGCCTCCTGTCCCACATTCCCAACACATCCCCTGCACATGGAACAGCTCCCTGCCTCCTGTCCCGACATCCGTCAACACATCCCCTGCCGACCCGAGGATCGAACTGATGAGCATCACGTTTTTTTATATTATGAATTTTATAGATGGAGGTTATTTAGATTATATTTATAGAATATAAATTAATTAATTAATTGTTATAATCATAAAATTTGTATATACATCTATCTATAATATTTCTATCTTAGCTATACTTATATTTTTATATTTATAGGTGTATGTTATATATTTATGTTTAGTATTTAGATATAGATATTAGATTTCTATATTTTAGTTTATATTTCTTCATTTTATATTATAGGTTCATGATATTAATATTTTTATAGTTTATCCACTTGTATGTTATATTGAGTATTCATATATTTATAGTTTATATTCTATTCCTACTTGCATGTTTATATTTGATACTTCATATAGTTAAAATTTATGATTTAGCCGATTGTATTTTAGTATTCATAGGTGCTTCATATATTAAATTATTTTCTATCATGTATCCATTGTATGGATTGCATATTCTCATATTCATATATATGACTTTATACCTATATTTTTATATTTTATATTATATTTATAATATATTCTATTATCTGTAATCTATTTTATTACATTTATTTTATATCACAAGGCTGATCTGCCACAAAAATGCTGCCCCCAAAGTGCTGACCCTCCCAACAACCCAGCCCCAAAGTCAAGCACATGCCAAGGCTGGGGTTTGGTTTTTGTGTTCTTTGCTCAACAACCAGAAATCTTGGTTTGTCAGGGCCCTGGAAGTTCCAAGGGAGCCAAAAGCACTCAGACCTTTGGTACAGAATCAAAGTGAGACCCAAAAACAGGAAAAAAATCAGAGCCAGGTGTCATTGGAAAGATTTCAGCACCAGGACAGAACATTCCAGTCAATCTGCTTTGGTGCAATGAGGGGTAGAACAGGAATAGAGGAGAAATCTGGATTGTTTAATTTTCTTCCTCCAACACACACTGAAAACTGCTCCAAATCCTGAAAGTTTGGAGCAGAACCCCAAATTTCTCGAGAGAATCTGCACTCTCAAAGCAGTGTCCTGCCAATAAAAGCTGCCTTGGACAAGAGGCCCATCTTTGTGCTGGTTTAGCAGCACCTGGGTACCTACAAATCCAGGATGATAAACTGTGAATAACACTCTGTACCTACAAATCCAGGATGATAAACTGTGAATAACACTCTGTACCTACAAATCCAGGATGATAAACTGTGAATAACACTCTGTACCTACAAATCCAGGATGATAAACTGTGAATAACACTCTGTACCTACAAATCCAGGATGATAAACTGTGAATAACACTCTGTCAGACTCTTGGGTGGGGCTGTTGTAGAATTGTCTCCAAATCCCACAAACTGAGGGCAAATTTCAGTTCCCAGCTGCCAACCCCCCCCCGCCCCCATTCTGCAGCCCATTTATTTGAAATAAATTTGTTAACCCTAGGGATGCAAACAGAGAATAAATCCTCAAATAAAACACATTTATTTCCCCACTAAGGCCAGAGAATCCTTGTGTTCCACCCCCCACCTAGCAGGAAAAGGGATTTCAGCTCTTCACTTCCCTGGCATTGCAACTTTCATTCCATCATTAACAGAATTCTCATTCCATATGAACAGGGTTTTCACTCCATATGAACAGAATCCCAGCCTACACCAACCCAAAGGGGTTCAGGACTTTAACCTGGAGGCTCAGTCTCAGTTATTCCAGAGAATCCGAGGAGTTGTGGTCAATAACAAACATTAACTGCACGTCACAGCAGCACCAAGATTAACTGAGTGCTAAAGCCACACTGCCACCACCTGACCAAACCCTCCTGGCATGGAACAGCAGCTACTTCCCATTCTTTCTTCAGCTTTAGATCACATCAAAAAGCTCCTAATTAACCACCAGGACAAAAGGAGACTTCACAAGCAACACCTGGGACAAATCCCACAGCAGCTGCCACGAGCTCTGAGGGTCTCCACGGACACACACGATTTTCTACAGCTCTAGGGAGGGGAACGTGGGCACAGAGGGCACAGAGGGCACAGAGGGCACAGAGGGCACAGAGTGGGCAGGGAATGAGGCAGAGAACCGAGCTCAGGTTCGGGTTTGCTCCGGGGGAGGTACTTACATCCCAAAGCGCAGCGTGCCCGAGACGTAGGTCTGCCAGTGAGCGCAGTAAAACATGAATGTCCCAGCAAAACAACAAAAGAACATCCAGTCAGGGTTGGTGCCCAGCTGCACAGCAATACAAGTTCCCAAAACCACAAAGACTGCAGGAGAAAATCAGTCACTCAGTGAAAAGGGGGAGTGGGACACGGGTGTCAAGATCCTCAGCAGAAGCAAAGCTACACCCGGGGCCCGGTGGGGGTGGCCTTGGGGGGGTTTGCACAAAACACCTCATTTGGAATAATTAAAACTGCAAAATGGGTATTGAAATGCACATCAGTCACTAGAAGTCTGCAGGATTGAGGGTTTCCTCAGTCTCCCATGTTTTTACTCCACTAAACAGTCCCATGAAGGGACTCGGGTGGTTTGTGCAGGTCTGGGGGTTTTCTCCTGGATCCAAGATTTGCTGGGCATTTCCCCCCCCCCATTTTCTGATTTATGGAATCCAAGGTCTGTCATTCGGGATTCCCAACGGATCTGTGCTTTCCCCTCCACATTTTCACACACAGTTTTGCCAGAGAAATCCTAAAAACTTAAAGCTTTAGAATTTCAGGAACCCAAACCACCTGACAAGGAGCTGGACTCTGTGATCCCTGTGGAACCCTTCCAACTCAGGATATTCCAGGATTTTTTTTGCAACGGGGTTAAAGTTCAGGCTGGCTCAGTGCCCTCCACCTCCCCAGGAACTGATCTGGCTGATTTTAATCTTAATTTTAATCTTTTAATCCTAAACTCAAGACTTGCAGAGTCCCACTGCTCGGGCTTCAGAGAGTCTAGAGAGTCACCCCAAAATAACCCAACAGAGCATTCTAAGGACTCCTACAGACAATGTTTGAGAGCCAAGACTCTGCTGAACCCTCCCAGAAAAGTGCTGGCTCAGGCTGAATCAGCCACATGCTTCATTTTGTTTTCAGTGGAACACAAGAGGAGACAGACAACTCAGCTGCTCCAGAGTGCAAAGAAAGGTGACCTTCTGAGCTGAAAAACTATCCTTTCAGCCCTGCATTCAGTAAAAAAAGCTTTTTCTTTTTTTGGGGGGGCATTGCAGATTTAATCCCTGAAATAAGAGTCACTTAATCCTCCAAGTTCAACTAGAAATAACAGCAATACCTGTGGACAAGGAATCACAGCCATGATCAAAGAGCTCTCCCAGGGGAGTGCTGCTGTTTGTCCTCCTGGCTTGTTTTCCATCTATGGCATCCAGGGACTGGTAGATGAAAAGGCCACAAGCACAAGCAATGTATGCCCAGGGAGGTGCCTGACAGGGAAAGGAAAGCAGAAGAAAGGTGATTTTCAAACCTCAGCATTCCAAGTGCTGCAGCTGCCCTGTCCCACAGCCTGACTCAGCATTTTCCCTCAGCACTTCCAGGTCACCCGGGGCCCTGGCAGGACAGGCAGGATGGGGCTGGGATGTGGAATGTAAATAAAGCAGGGCCCGAATTCCAGCCTGGATCAGCTCCAGCCTCGTGCTCCCAGGCAGCTGGAGCAAACCCCAGCCCCACACGTGCACAGGGTGTGCAGTGAAACCCTCGAGGTAGAAACCCCCCAACTTCCACCCCAAACCCCGAGCTCCCCGTGCCCAGGGACATTGGAGCTGTGGCACTGCCCAGACTGGGAGCTCAGGAGCCTCTGGGGGCCTCCAGCATCAGCAGCTTTGCCAAGAAAATCCACCTTAACCCCCCTCACAGCCCCCTCCTGCAGAGTAGTTTGGATTTCCACAGAAAGCCCAACAATGCCAAAGCCAGAACTCTCCAACTGCAGCTTTTTTCTGCTGTTTCAAGTGCGACCCACTGAGCCCAGAAAAGGCAGGTCCCCACCCCTCTGGCTCAGCTGCCACTCCCATCAATCCCAAATTATTGGCTGTTTTGCAACCTTCCCACTCGACACACGTGGGCATTTACAAGCAGTTCTGTCTTCCAGAGCACACCAATAAAATCCAGGGCAGTTCAACTAACCCAACCTGCCTCTCACAGAGCCCTGAGTCCAGCTTAGCTAGGCTGACACAACCACGACTCACTGGAGCACAGCAACTAAAACACATTCCTTCTCCAGCCTCCACTGCTCCTGAGTGACCAAACCCCTTCATTCTGCCCCAAAAGCTGCTCTGCTTTCAGCACTTCATCTGTACAAACAACACACGGGGAGGGGGGGAGAAAGAAAACCACGTTTCCCAAGTTTTTGATGCCACAGAATTCCAGCCCGTGGTGTTGTTTTTATTCCTCATTTCTAGGTTTTATACCCCAGGTTTAATTACGTTCAGGGTGATGCAATTTTTCTCTACAAACCCCCCAAAAAATCCCTCTGCTGGCTCTTCTCTCTCCTTTCATTAGCAGCGTAGGTGTTTCCACTGAGAGGTTATTTATATCTGGGGGATGATTTCACAGCTCCCTCTCTTATCCAGGCCTTTTTTTCCATTCTTTTTTTTTTAAAAGCGAAACAATTCATCACTCAGCATTTTGCCAGTTGGGTCCTCCCAGCTCAGCAGGAAGGATTTGCATCTCCTCCTCTCTCCAGCTCAGCTCCCCTGGCTACACCTCTCACCAACAGGAAGAGACAAGTCACTCTTGGAGGAAACCAAGGGGAAAAAAAAAGCAAAACTAAGGCTGAGCTACAAGGAAGAGAAAATTTACATCTGAAAGCAAAAGTGCTCTGGGGGAGGAGGGAAAAAAAAAAAAAGCAGCACGTTGTTTGTGGAGTTTCAAAGGCCCATTTTCCTCCCCAGGCAGCTCCTGACACTTCAAAGGCACCTCCAGCACCAGGGCTTCAGTGCCATGGGCAAAGTGGAGCAGGAGCTGCCTCAGCACCAGGTCATCCTGCATCCAAGGGAGAGGAAACCTCAGTCACCTCCCCCAGAGCACCTCAGAGTGCTGAACACCAGCACTGCTCTGACACAGCTCCAAGGGAGAGGAAACCTCAGTCACCTCCCCCAGAGCACCTCCCAAAGTGCTGAACACCAGCACTGCTCTGACACAGCTCACTCGAGCTCCTGGTGCTCTGACACAGCTCACTCGAGCTCCTGGTGCTCTGACACAGCTCACTCTGAGTTCCTGGTGCTCTGACACAGCTCACTCTGAGTTCCTGGTGCTCTGACACAGCTCACTCGAGCTCCTGGTGCTCTGACACAGCTCACTCGAGCTCCTGGTGCTCTGACACAGCTCACTCGAGCTCCTGGTGCTCTGACACAGCTCACTCGAGCTCCTGGTGCTCTCAGTGCAGCTCAGTTTGTGCTTCTGGAGGTTCATCACCAATCAAAACAATACCAAACACCAAACAACCCAAACCTCTACATTCATTCACTCCTGCTCTGGCTCAGTGCCCCAGATGTCCTGGGACAGCTGAAGTGTCTCTGTCAAACCAGATTTCAGAGCCTGAGCCCCCAAATAACCCCCAGTTAAAGCCAGCCCACCCCACAGAGCCCCAGGCCTGCAGGAGGAGCTGCTCCAAGTGCTCCCTGCTCCAACTGTTTATCTTCCACCTGCCAAATTCCACGAGTTGTTGTGAAATTATCTGTTTCAACAGATTTCTAGGACAGGCAAACAGCCCTTTCCTGTGCCACACAGGGAGCAGGGATGTGCCAACCTACATGGGGTTTGGAGCCTGGCTGGGAACAAACTGTGCTGCTCCATTCCCAACCTCAGCTCGGGACAGGAGGGAGCTCAGATCCAGCTGGAAATCCTGAGGCATTCCCAGCTTTCCCGTGTGTGACACACCCCCTTTTCCAGGGCAGCTTTTAAGGTTTCCACGTTCAAGTGGAAAAAAACCCCAAAACTTTCCCAGTGCACGAAAATGAAAGTTTTCAGGTGCAAGAGAAAAAAAAAACCCTTTGAAATGAGGAACTTGGAAATGCCTCCTGAAGACTCTTGGGGCCCTGAAAGCAGGTTCAGACAGTTCTCCTGAGGGCAGGGCAGGAGCTTGTCATGCATTGAGAACAAAGAATAAACCTCCTGACTTTTATCTAGCCCCTCACAGCAGGGACACAGCCCAGGAACACAACCCTGTGTCCCCAAACTGCCCCAGAGCCTGAGCTGAGCTCTGAGCCAGGTGTCCTATCAGAAAGATTTCAGCACCAGAACAGAACAGTCCCAGTCAATCTGCTTTAGTGTAGTCAGGGGCAGAACAGAAATCTGGATTTTTATTTTTTTTCCTCCAACACACACTGAAAACTGCTCCAAATCCTGAAAGTTTGGAGCAGAACCCCAAATTTCTCGAGAGAATCTGCACTCTCAAAGCAGTGTCCTGCCAATAAAAGCTGCCTTGGACAAGAGGCCCATCTTTGTACTGGTTTAGCAGCACCTGGGTACCTACAAATCCAGGATGATAAACTGTAAATAACACTGTCAGACTCTTGGGTGGGGTTGTTGCAGAATTGTCTCCAAATCCCACAAACTGAGGGCAAATTTCAGTTTCTGGCTGTGAAAGGTTTAAAAGGTTTCAGTATCAGGACAGAACAGTTCCAGTCAATCTGCTTTGGTGGAATGAGGGGTAGAACAGAACCCTGGATTTTTCATTTCCTTCCTCCAATACACATTGAAAACTGCTCCAAAGGCTGAAATTCTGGAGCAGGAACACAAGTTTCTCAAGAAAATCTGCACTATCAAAGCAGCATCTGGATTTTTAATCCTCTTCCTCCAATAGCTGGTTCTGTCAGACCCTGCTCCACAGGGGTGTGTGGGCCTGAGGAGCTGCTGTCCCACCCCAAAACCCAGCCCCAGAAATCTTGGGTTATCAGGGCCCTGGGAAGTTCCAAGGGAGCCAAAAGCACTCAGACCTTTGGTACAGAATCAAAGTGAGACCCAAAAACAGGAAAAAAATCAGAGCCAGGTGTCATTGGAAAGATTTCAGCACCAGGACAGAACATTCCAGTCAATCTGCTTTGGTGCAATGAGAAGTAGAACAGAAGCCTGGATTTTTAAACCTCAAAGAGCTGGTTCTGTCAGACCCTGCTCACACAGCTGTGGCCTGAGGAGCTGCTGTCTCACCCCAAAACCCACCCCAGGGGGGCACCAAGATTTACAGACAACAGGTTAAAAGTGCAAAAACTGCGGGCTGGCCCAGCGAGAAAGCAGGAACCCACCCAAACCAGTGCCAAGAGAGCAGGAACCCACCCAAACCAGTGCCAAGAGAGCAGGAAACCCCCCCAAGCCCAGTGCCCCTGCCAGGAGGTGCCCCCAGCACCCCGAAGGGCTCCGAGGTGCCCAGCTCACCTGCTCTGTGGCTGTGGGGCAGTACCACACCAGCAGCAGGGTGGTGAGGATGTTAATGCACAGTCCAACGATGGTGATGAGGTTGGGGGCGATCCAGGCGGGCACTCTGCCCACCAGCCACTCCCAGTAGCCCTGCATGAGGGGCTCCAGCAGGGACCTGCCCGCGCTCTGGTACTTGTGCTCCTCGAGCCGTTTGAGCTGGTGCTTGCTCAGGGGGGGCGTGGGCAGCTGCACCAGCTTGCTGAGCACACACCCAGCCCCGGGGCCGTGCCCACAGCCCGCGGGGGCCTCGGCCTGGGCCTCCCCACATCTCCTCCTGCTGCTGCGGTGCCCGCTCATGGGTCGGCTGGCCTAGCAGGTGAGGTTTGGCAGGCAGGAGCTGTGCTGGAGAACCATAAGATCCTGCAAGAGAAAGGAAAGGTTGGGAGAGACTCGTTAGAGAAAAGGTCCTTCCCCTTCAGAGGGCGGCCAGGCACCGAGCCGTGCCCAGGGTCACCCCCGGGCAGTGGGCACAGCACTGGGGCTCTCAGAGCTCAGGATCACCCCTGGGGCAGTGGGCACAGCACCGGGGCTCACAGAGCTCAGGGTCACCCC